TCTCATAAAAAGTTATGATTATAATGCCTCATTTTTATATAAAAAGATATGTCTCAAATTTATTGTCACATAGTGTAATTATTTGTAATACGTAATATTGCACACTTTTATTATGAGTATAAAATAATATACGATAATATAATAATCCACAGTACATTATTTAAATATATGTATGTTATATAGAAGTAGATTCATCTTCACGTAGTCAATTATTTCGTCAATTATGTATAATTTAAAAAGTACTGATAACAAAATCAGTGAAGGCACTGATACTGATAATAATTGAAAATGCTTTAGTCACTTTTAGAATATAAACAAATCAAGTACGAGTAGCTCAAAATCAGACCTCATTGATTCCAAAAATAAGAATAGTTGATGTTAAAAGAATGTCTATTATGTTCTTCTTGGAATTAGTCATTTTAATTGGGTTTTTTAAATATAACGCAGTACGAGCATCTGACACATACCACAGCAGTAAATATATTCAAAATTTTATATAATTGGAAAATATAAGTTACGTGAAAAAAAAATTTACAGCGAAGACATGCCTAACTCCAGATAATGTACATGGGTATTGCGTACCAATGGCCAAATGTGAACGAATAACATGGATGATAGAAAGTTGGGGTGAACCATATCCACCGTATGTTGTGGATTACATTAAGAACAGTCATTGTGGTATAACCGGTAATATTGTAAGTGCTTTTAAATAGTTATTCTACTCCTTCAAGTTCAATAACAATCTAATTACTGTGTTTAGCATTATGGTTGCTGTGCTATTAATGATTTAAAAGGATTTCAGCCTACACATCAAGTTCCTACACATCAAAGAACTACTAATTACAATGTGCCTGTGCTTCCAATACCTCGCACCCCTACACATCAAAGCACTTCTGATTACAATGGACCGGTACGATATCCCCCTCCACCTGACCCATTTTCCTTTAACAATCAACATCATTCAATGAATGGTTATCAATTACATGGAAATAATTACTATCAATCATCACTACCAGTTGGTGAGCAAATCTTAAGTTCAATGCCATGTGGCCCATTCGCTGGCCATCGGATCTCAAATGGTGAATTTGTACGACTATCAGAATTTCCTTGGATGGCGTTATTGGAATACGCTGGTGCTAAAACTCGTAAGCGTTTTAAGTGTGGTGGTACTTTGATTACAAATCGTTATGTGCTGACTGCAGCTCATTGCGTCACTGGGCCAAGTGAATTGTAAGTTGGTATAAACTATCCAATCAAATAATATTCAATATATTTACAATATAAAAATGTCATTTCCATTGATACAGAATAAGCGTCCGTTTAGGAGAACATAACTTAAATACTCAAAATGATTGTGAACGTTATTTTAAGGACTCTGGTGACATATACTGTGCACCTATATATATTGATGTGGGTATTGAAAGAACTATACCACATCCTCAATATACAACACGTCCTATTAGCAACGATATTGCCTTAATCAGACTCAGTACTGCAGTGCAGTTTCAGTGTAAGTAATTTAAAGCAATTTAAATTATAACAAAATGCCAATATGTACGAAACCACATATAAAATTTATAATACAGAAGTAATAAATTATTATAGATTATAATTTGCTAGTAGATATGTCCATATTTAAATCAAATCAATATCTTAAAATAAAATTTATAGCACATATAAAGCCAATATGCTTACCACGCGCTCCTTACGCCTTCAGTCATGTTCCAGAATCTCTCACAGTTAGCGGTTGGGGTGTTACAGAACAAGGTTATGAAAATATATCTTAATCATGATATCATATATTCATTTATTGATTTATTAATTTTTATTTAAAGGCTACGCAGCTGATGTCTTAATGAAAGCTAACTTACCTCTACAAAATAACGCAGTTTGTCACAATGCCTTTTTTCGGAGCATAAATATAAATCCCAATCACATATGTGCTGGTGGCGTTGATCACAGAAGTACCTGTCGAGGTGACTCCGGTGGACCACTATTTGCACCAGTAAACTACATAAATAATGATGATATCCGTTATGTACAATTCGGTATAACGTCAGCTGGGGAATTAAGTTGTGGCGATAGTAGTCATAACTATCCTGCTATATTTACACGAATTTCGAATTATATGGATTGGATACTCACCAATATAGTGTTATAATAAAAATATAATTTATAAAAATAATCCCATTTCTTTAACTTCTCTAATTAGAGTATTGTATCAACTGGGGTATGTCGACTTAAAATTTCATTAGAATGTTTGTTACAATTAAAAATACATTAGTACGATATTCTGTATACATATATGAAAAATATAAGGAAATCTATGATTAGGACAAACAGAAACTAATATCTACTAAAGTCCAGTCGAATATTAATATTCAATAAGAAAATATGGTAAAAGTAATCAACAGCAAATATCATTTTAATAAATCGGTATTCGAACCAACATTAATATATACCGCAAAAAGCTAGCCCACATGAAGAACTTAAACCGTATATCTACTAAAGGATACAGTGATTGAAAGGATAGTTAAAAAAGATGTGTAGAGAGAGGATTAAATAAAAAAAAAGAAGAATAGTAAATCCAGTAAATTTTATGAGAAACAAAAACCACTTGATACGTTGACAAATATGGAAGCTTGAGAATATAGAAATAATTAAAACATTATTTTAAATTCGCAACAATTGTAAACGAACAAATGACCCAAATTAACGGATAATGTACTTACCTCTTGAGAGGAAACTCGTGAAAGGTTTCATTTCAGTTCAATTTTTTATTCTCTTTTTTTAAAGTTTAAATTTTGTTAATTATACAAATTTTTTAATAACACAGAGACCAACAAACGGCCTTGATTTAGATGTGCATAAGTTATAAAATATATGTTTGCTTATAATGCCTTTTCATTTCGACATTGTATAGACAGGTCTACATTTTTTATATACTCTTTGATGTCGTTTATATTCTTTCCTCCTTTTAACCGGATACCCAGCAACTTTTTGAAGATTTTTCACATGTGATATTCACAGTTTACCGAATCTATGTCAGTTCAGTTAGAGTTAAAATAAAAGGTAATTCCTTAATTAAGAACACCGTAAAATTGATTAATTACAGTGTTCACTCGTTAAATGCAACAATTAATTCGTAACATATACTGGATCGTCTATTGTCATTAACAATGAGTCTATAAATCCTAACAAAAGTTCTTACTAAAGAACAAAACTTTTATTACTCCTTCACTAAAAGAAATTAAGGTTTATACACTTTTCTTGAAAATAATTATATCAGAACTACCACTCTATCACAATTCCTATAACTATTACTGTAAGGGGTTTTTGGTTATGGTTTTGCAGCCAAATTTGAAAAAAAATTATTTTTTATTTTCGACTAATATTGAAATTTTTAACTTCTTAAAACAGTGCATTACCTTAGGTTCTTTTACAAAAGCATTAATTTACATTAGATATATTTTTTTCATTTAACGGCAAGTTTTCCCAGTATCGTTAAGCTTTCAACTTCAAAATGCAAAAAAAAAACCACCATTGGGGCAGAATCATAGCAGAATCTTCCAGACTTTTTATTTACTCGTTCTATCTTATTTAGGTAATATTTGAGTTGACAATATCCTGCTAACAATTCAGTACAGCATTTTTATCTCTAAATGTACACACATTTCTCGAATCCTATCTACAGAACAAAATCCATCATGAGAAATATTAATATCTACGTTATTCTCATACGTTATTTAATATAGACGTTTCCATAACAATATTACTGGAATTAATCATCTGATGCAAAAATTTGGAAACTATACAAATCCATACAAAACTTAAAGCTGATATTCAGGTGAGTAGCAGTTGCTTCTCAGGAGTCACTGGCTTGTAAATTTGAAATCGAGAATTCTTTCTTACAAGACTATCGTAGAACCAATTTAAATTTATGATCTCCAAATATTGATAATACCAGTTAAATAAACATTGATATTTTCAAAAAATGTAGTCAAAAATGTTCCCAGTGATTACTGAAAACCTTTAATATATTTAAAATACATGTTTTCATAACAAAAACATATATCTGATGGATAAATCTGAATTCACCTGAGTTAGAGAGAAACTTAAACCATATACGAATACTTAAATTAGAAACTCAGGAATAGACATTCTTTAGAAATAAGAGAGCTCTTGATAGTAAATGTTTCCAAACATCCTACCCATCCAATAATAATAGAAAAAATGCATACATTTTGAAATGGGGCTTACTGTAGTTTGCAGTGCTGGTGGGTTTGCGAATAAAATTACCTAATTATTGTCAATAAAAAAATATTTATTAAGTACATACATTATCAATATGTACATATCACTTTCGTACTCCGGCAGTACTACAAACAAATAACTATGAGTGAATAACTGGCAATTAACCGAATCAATAACCATGAAAACCGTGTCGAAGTAATCATTGTCATATCCACATTCAAAAAAAATCTCAATTCAATTGGAGGTAATTTTTTCCCAAACAGTTATTAAGCAGCAGTTAACATAAACAGTCGTTCTGAACGCTTTTAAATATTCTACATCTATTTTCTGGTCAATTTCTTTCTCTCAGTTTGTGAATATGTACAGTTTAACGGTATTTAGTTCCCAACATATAATCACTTCCGTCATTTTTGCTTGTTACCTTACACTGCCTTTAATTAGTGGACAAAACATATTCGAGCGTTTTCGTCCCAGCAATGTGTCTCGTTCAAATGAAGACTTAGTTAAAGTAGTTTCGGGAACGAAAGTGAAACGTTTCGAGAGAATGACAGTGCCTTTGGGTGGAAGTGTCCTACAACCTCATTTACTCAACTATGGTTATGGTTACGTAAGTTGAAGAAAACTATTCAAGAATCTAAATTCTAACACATACCAACAGATTTATGTTATAGTCGGTATTCCACATTTTGAAAGTGGATTAAGTGATTACATTATGAGTTATCCTGTTTTAATAAAAAGAAGAAAAAGTGATATGTGTGCAAATTTTTGATTTGAGAATTTTTACTTTAAACTGGCGATATATTTTTTTAAACATTAACTACACGCAGGTTGTGCCCCATTGGCAAGCTTCCGCAAAACTAATTGGAGATGGCGACAATGCCGCCGATGGTGTGATCTCATTTCAGCAGTTGCCATACAACAACGATATTAAAGTAACAATTAATGTTACTGGCCTACCTCCTGGTAAACACGCCTTACATATACATACTTTTGGAGATCTTAGTGAAGGTTGCAAGTCTACTGGTGGACAATTTCCAAATAACTTCGTAAGTCAACGAATATATATTTACTTGACAATTTTATAACATGGTAGATATAATAATTTATTGTAGAAAAAAGATGCGAAATAACTCTTTTTTAAAATAATAAAATATTATATTTTTACTTAGTAATACACATCTCAAGTTCCGTTAAAGTTAGACTAGGTAGAAGTGGGAACCGTGCTCTCCAAACCGCACTTTAGTATTAAATTTTGTTGCTATTAGTAGGAGAATGTTCGTACAACAAATCGAAAGCAGTATATTCTAATCTGAAGCCTTTTTTTCACAAACAGTGTATCTTTAAGAAGACCATTCACCCCCCTAGTTGCGATAAATAATAATCAGGCCTATTCTGAATCGCAAGGGAATGCGAGTTTGTTCGCTGTTCCCAATTCCCCTATTCTGAATAAATTTGGTATGTTCCCTGTTCCCAATTCCCCTATTCTGAATCGCATGCGAATGTGAGTTTTTTCCTAATTTTGCACAAATTCTCTCGCTACCAAATTGTTGGGGAGACAAGTTAAAAAAGTATTAAAAATAGTTTAATTTAATATAAAAGTAACTAAAAATGATCAGATTATTGAATATATTTTAATAAAATTATTATTATAATAAAATTATTACAATTAATTTAATATTTTCAAAGTTTTATTTTTTGATTAGTTTTCCGAATATATTTCAATAAATTTAATATAACAAAATTTTCATTTAATATATTTTATTAAAATTATTATTTTAATAAAAGTATAACAAATTTGAAATATTTAAATTTTTATTTATTTATTTTATTCACACGGGTTTTTTCCACTAATTAAAGTGTTAACTATTGTTAACAATAGAAAAATGAAAGGAAACCAAATTCTGAAATAAGTGGATTCCTAGAATAAGTTAAAATAAACTTTTGCAATTATGTGCAGGTAAAACATTGCTTCTTTTTTATTGTAAGATCTTTATAGGTATAAACTAGTATTAGTTCATTAATTTAAGCATGAAGGACATTTCTATCCTAATTATATAAAAAAAGTAAATTATAATTTACGCAAATTTTGTATAAAAGCAGTGAATGTTTGAAAATAAAGACATTGAAGAATTGATATCATAACGTAAGGTTGTTTTTTAATTAGTTTAAAAAAGAGTTAAAAATTTAGAATTTGGTTTATTTTGCTCATGCATAATTCTTTTTATATATTTATTTTACTCATTAAAATAAAAGTTTCTAATTGTTTATTATTTACTCATAAAATAACTTATATTTATTTCCGATAATTTGTGCAGCAAACAAATAATGCGATTTTTACATTTAAATCAACATATGATACGCAATTCTTTTCTTTGTTTTGCTCATTTTCTCACTTTTCGTCATTAAAAAGTGGCATGGTTGCCAAAATTTAACAAAACAAATTTGAAATTGTTGTTGTTCACGAAACTGCTGTCTCCCTAGCGATTCAGAATAAGGGAGCTGTGTGTTCGGGAACAGCGTGCGAATAGGGAGTTTTTTCGCTGGGAGTATTCAGAATAGGCCTGAATAATTTTTTCAATCATATATCAAAGAGAAACGTGGAATAATTAGATTAATATCCCTAAACATATGAATTATTAAATTTCATATAGCATGAAGGTTAGGATAATCGTTTACTCAAAACCAATTGGATTACTTCTTAAGAATTGTTGTTATTTAGCATTAAATTTCGAAGTGGAGTTGAAGTGAGTTTTGTCTCCGTCTTACACTTCTGTCATACACTCCTAAAACAAGCTATATTTTTCATTCGAAGTTGAATACATGATTTATTTTTCAACAGCGCAAAGTACATAGTGAAACTAATAGTAAATCATGAAATCACAAATTTTGGCACAAATCATCACATATTACAGATCCGAATATAAGTGATCCGCTAACTTTTATATTCAACGAAAAATTTAAAATGTAAATTAAATAATTTTATAAATAAAACTACTACAAAGGCTTATACGAACATTGATATAGTTATTTCAAAAATCCACACCTCTCTCTGGTCTTATTTTTGCAGGTTCTTACTTCCCTCTTCCTCTTTCATATTTTTAATATCATAATGAACTTCTAGATTTTGATCCTTAAATATGGGTAGAAATTTTTTAAATCTAATATTAATTCCTAAAATAGCCATAGTCTATATTGTTTATTATTTCTATTGGAAGTTTTATAAGATTCTTCAAATACTACCCATATTCTAATGGGTAAGAACTCTCATAGTAACAACTTTGCTTCTGCAAATATAATTATGCTAATTCTAAATAAAAGCACTGCAACATTTCTGGTCACTCTGCTTAATTAATATTTATTGCAACATGTAAAATCTCAAACTGATGAATAAAGTTTTTAGGAAAAAAAAGCTTCCTTGCCTTCCTCTGCAAAGCATCTATTAAAGCGCCGTACGCAAATCAACCTTAAAGTGTAATTGGATAAATCCATGTTATCTAATACCATAGTGTCTAAAATTGGTTCCGGATAATATCAAATATCTGATTATTTCTTCATTAGTTTGAAATGAAATTTTTCTAGACAACTAATCGTTCCATTCTTTGTTTGCACCTAGACCTAACAGCACTTTTAGTGCCCAATTTCATCCCGTTAAATAACCTACCTTATCCTAATGATAAGGAATGTCTCTCTTTATTTATATGGAATAATTAACTCTTTTACCTGGCGGCTTCTTTAAGTGTTAAAGTTTTGTGTTTAAGTTTTTGAGATAAATAAGCAATCGTTGCCATAACCGGCACTAGTATAAAAATCAAATCATGGTGATATACGCGTTTCTGCATAATAAATTACATTAATAATTATTAATAATATATTGCGTTATATATATATATATATATATATTGCTTATACATTGAAGGAAACACTCTTAATCTAGTTTTTCTTATATTCACCTTATAGATAGGCAATGTTGACACCAAAGACGATGGAAGCATATCGGCAGCATTTCTTAGTGTGTATCTTAATTTATTCGGATTTAATGGGATTGTCGGTCGTTCTGTAGTAATCCATAGTAAACCAATCGATTTGAATACGGCTCTAAATGCAGAGGTATTTTCATCATCTTTAACTTCAGTACCAGATGCTTTAGCTTATCAAAATGAAGAAAATTCGGTTGGACCACCAATAGCTTGTGGTATTATAAGCATAGTAAGAACAGCTACTGTAACTCCAGAGAAATGATTATTATAAATATAGTATATACATATAATCTTGTAAAAATAAAACATATTAACATTTTTGATTAATTTTTTGACAAAATTGTTTTTAATAATTTTCGCTTATGAACACAAACAATTAATTTATTATAGAAGTATTATATAGCACGTACCTAGATATATATATATTTATTATATTATTTAAGTTCTAAATAATTCAAATGATCGCATGCAAACTCGTACATAAAATAAATAAATATCGTATTTTTTTATTACTACTAAACATTATACGTTTACGTTTTTAGCAAAAAAATTTAAGAATCATATATTAAGAATCGAAGAACTGAGATTATTTTAGCGGCGATTACCGCCACCACCGCCTCTGTGATAGTTGGACCGTCCTCTAAAGCTGTTGCTGCCACCACGTCCGCCATTATCGTTTTGATAACTTCTGTCACTGCCTCGATCGCCACGATCATAATCAGAACGTTGATTTTGTTGCCACCCCGTTCCTTGCACACGTCCACTACCACTTAGCCAATCACGTCTTGGTTCATTTTGTTGCTGTGGTGCAGAAAATTGTTGCCAATTGTTGCTGCCACCACGTCCACCACCACCGCCGCCAAAATTTCCACCGGCGTTGCCACCTCCACGACCACCACGGAAATTGCCACCACCACCGCCACCTCGTCCGCCTGGACCTGAAGAGCGTTGTTGCTGCCAAGAAGGCATTTCTGGCGGAGGTGGTGCATGTTCGTGTGCTCGCCCTCCACGATCTGGCACGCTGCCAATAATATGTTTTTGTATTTTTGTAGCTGTATTTTTACGTACATTTGCTGAACTGGTTTTTTCAATTATAGCTAAGTCTGAACGTGCAACTAATAGCGCTATTAAATTGGTATTATCTCCACCAGTTTTATACTTTTCGATTTCCTTCATTTTCTTTTCAAATCGACTCGAAATCTCATTTTCAGAATTTTTCATTTTTTCTGACCATAGAAAACTTTGTATTGTTACTTCAAGTCGGGTTAGAAGCACTTGACGACGCATTATATATTCCGCTTCTAGATCTTGATTTATTCTCGCTAATTCCTTCCACTGTGCGTCAGTGTATTCTTTTTGCATACTTAGTAATGGTTTATTTATAACATCAGGATGCACGTTTCGTAGTTGTTCCTCGACTTTAAACTTCATTTTATCAAACAACGCCTTTGGTGATATATTATCTGGTGGTTTACCTAAACACAAATCGCGTGTTAATTGTTCTAAAGCACGTGCAGTATTTGTTTCAAATTTCGAAATGACATAAGACTCCTTTGCAGGACATAAGTGAAACATCATCTTTACAGCCATTAATTCATTTATTAGATACTCCAACAGCTCTAAACGGGATTCACGCGTCTCAAAACGCTCTGAAAGTGGACCAGCAACAAATTGTGTAAATGGGCACCCGAGTTCCTTAAGAAATGATGACAATTCCATAGCAAATTCACTGGGATCATTGACATCCTGTGAGACTTGTTCATCAGTTTTTCGCAATATATGCAATTCGTGCGCTAACCAGCTTACAATTTCACGGAATTCTGGGCTACGTAAGCCTGTTTCCAAAGCACTTGTAAAAACATCATTTTGTGTGCATTTCCCGGTATATTTTAAAGCATTCAACGAATCTATAATATCCAATTCAGACTCCATATTTCAAACTACAAAATAATGTTTGTATATTATCGGCCACACACCGGTGTGGTAAAGCGAATTCAATAAACGTCAAACCTACAAAAAACAATAAGTGTTGCCAACACATTGTACGGCACTAATACCATTAGTGATGAAAGTTCTTATAATAAAGAAATATTATGGTTACTCGATTGTGAGTTCAATTGGTTGGGTATTTATATTTATTTCTGATTTTAACCTATATCTATATATATTTTTATATTTTATACGTTACAAATTATTACTGCAAAGCAATAAATTTCGAAAAAACTTTATATATACATATTTAAATGTTTTAAATAGTCGCTTATTTACTAAACATCATATTAATATAGGTATAGTATGCTAAATGAAATAGATTATTATATATTAAATCGTGTGCAAAAGTTCAAACTTTCTGGCACTACAAATATAACGCCTTACTCAACTTATCTTCTACTACCTGACTACTCAGCAATGGTAAGGCACAAGTAAACAATTTGAAATTAGTTTTTATTATTTTTTGGAAGCTTATATGTGAAATGTGTGATAAAAATTAAAAAAGCAGTTATACAAATTTCTTATCTGTGTTTGTATTATTATATAACTAAATATAGTGTTATCTAACTATACCAATTTAAACGACAGTCTCGATTCCACTCCCACTTTTTGAATAATACGTCTTAATTGATTTGTCTTTGATTTGTTTGCTCGTGTCTATGAAGTCTTAAAATTAAATAATTTCAATCATTTTTTTGTAAAAAGGTTTCGAAATAAAAATTCTTTCATATTATTTCAATTTATTGAATTTTAGCTAACCATACAGCTGTTTCGAATTTTACCAAATACCCATCATCAGTGGTCTTGGAAATATATCTTGTGTTTAATTATGCGTGAATATTTTTTTGATACTGCAAGTACTTGCGATTGCCCTGTCAAATTTGAAGCTCAGAGTCAGCGTTCATTAGTCAAATTACCCAAAGCCGTAGTTAACTTGTATGTTCGCAGATTTTTCTGGAGTTTTGCTTATTTGATGTGAAGGTTTATTAACAAATTCACTTGCTGTGTTACAATTTTTTTGAAAATATATTCACGCTTTCAATATTTGTCAGCAGCAGATATAAGATGCTTTAGCAAAAAATCTTAGCATTTCATACAAATTTATAATTTCATTCCATACAAAAATTAGGTTTGTATACATATATATTGACACATCTGTGTTACACGTTTTATTGCAATAATATAATTTGTATTTGATCGCTAGTAGAATTTTACCACACATATTAAATGTGCCATTTAGGCATGCTAACTTCAAGAATATTCGTGAGTTCTTAGTGTTTAGTATTAATTACAAGAACGTCTGCCCATCTCCCAAGTTCGTGGAAAACATTTCACTAACTTATCCGCCCGTAACTTTTGCAAAAGTAACTCATATTAATAATAAGATACTCACTTCTGGTAGAAAATACTTAAGTCGATGTCTTCACCTGCCTCAAGTCATCTTTCAAGTTGCTACTAACGTACTAACTTACTTGCAATTTAAGTATTTGCCGCTTTACTTACTTAATCCCAAGATATTCTGAAACACAGGTCATTATTGCCGAAATCATGGGGTTAATAATTAATACTATTAGCAACAGTTTTTTGTTTTGCTTGCTCTCCATATTCTTTTAGTTTACCGAGATTTTTATTTATCTAAGATTTTACTTAGATCTCGCTTTTTAGCCATGTTCTTCAATTTGTACAACTTTTGTTCTGAGGCTTTTGTTTTTAAGCCAAAAGAGGTTTTCGAAAATATCGCTATGCAGTGTTCTATTAAAAGATCAATAATTTCTAAATATTAACTATATTAATTAAAAAATCTGTGTAGAATTATTTAGCGTTTAAAACAACATATGTTAATTTTGAAGACCAAGCTTTGATAACCGGGAAATAGAAGCAGTTGCTGGAATACGTGTAACCTGATATGTCACAACTATATGAAAAGAATCTTCATAAGACCAAAGAATG